TAAAAATTCAAAAATTAGCCAGGCATGGAGGCTGAGGCAGGAGAATCACTTGAACCAGGGAGGCAGAAGTTGCAGTGAGCAGAGATTGTGCCATTGCACTGCAGCCTGAGACAAGAGCGAGACTCTATCTAAAAAAAAAAAAAAAAAAGTAATTCCTAAAATTCAAAAGAAAAATGCAACAGGTCAGGCATGGTGTCTCACACCTGTAATCCCAGCACTTTGGGAGGCCAAGGCAGGTGGATCACTTGAGGCCAGGAGTTTGAGACCAGCCTGGCCAACATAGCAAACCCTGTCTCTACAAAAGATACAAAAATTAGCCAGGCTCGGTGCCACAAGCCTGTAGTCCCAGCTACTCAGGAGGCTGAGGCACAAGAATCACCTGAATCTGGGAGATGGAAGTTGTATTGAGCCGAGATTGTGCCACTGCACTCCAGCCTGGGTGACAGAGCAAGATTCCATAGAAAGAAAGAGAGAAAGAGAGAGAGAGAGAGGGAAGGGAGGGAGGGAGGGAGGGATGGAGAAAGATATCACCATTTGCAACCCCTAATGAAATAATGGATCTAAGCCATTATCATTGATGATGCTAATGGCACAAAAATAGAGACAACCAGACACTGTGTCCCCTATTGTAAGTCCACACTAACCCTTATATTTTTTAAAAAAAAAATTTCAAACCTGATCTGATCAAGCCTCTACATTCAATTAACAATTTATAGAAATACAAGAGACCAAGTAAGATGTTAATTGAACTGCGAGGGTACAATTGACAAACTCTAGACTGTGGAAATTGTGCAGGACAAAGAAATTGTAAGGAAAACTTTTAATATTTAGGAGGAAAAATAGAGAAGGAAGGCAGAACCAATAAATAGAGGCTTAAGATTGCACTGCATGGAATTTATTGGGATCCTAACTTATACAAATGAGGAGAGGGTGGTGGTTGGAGGAAGAAGGAGGGAGGAAAAGGAGGAGGAGGAGGAGAAAGAGACAAGAGAGGATGAGAATGAGAATAAATATGGAGGCAATGTGAACCATGGCTAGATAGTTAATGATATTAAGAAATTATTTTTTTGGCCAGGCATGGTGGCTCACACCTGTAATCCCAGCACTGTGGGAGGCTGAGGCAGGTAAATCACCTGAGGTCAGGAGTTTGAGACCAGCCTGGGCAACATAGTGTAACTGTCTCTACAAAAATACAAAAATTAGTCATGTGTGGTGGTGCGTGCCTGTAATCCCAGCCACTCAGGAGACAGTAGAATCGCTTGAACCTGGGAGATGGAGATTGTAGTGAGCCAAGATCCTGCCACTGTCCTCCAGCCTGGGTGACAGAGTGAGACTCTAACTCAAAAAAAGAAAAGAAATATATTTCATTGGTAAAGGTGTAATAATTCAACTATAGTTAGGTTTTTTCCAAAGAAATTTACCCTTTGTGATACATGCTGAAATATGGGGATGAAATGACAGATCTGCATTTTGCTTTGTGGAGAGCAAGTGGAAGACTGCCCAGATGAAATAATAAGTCCATCATTGTTGAAGCTGGGAGATACATCCATGGGTTTCAATATATATTTTCTCTACTTTTATTTATATTTGAAATTCTCATACTGAAAACGTTTTGTGAAAGTAGGCCCTGGCTTACTGTTTCCACAATTGTAATTCATTCCTTCTAGAGATAGCAAGTAGACTGTCAGTGTGACCATACAGGACTTAGCACATCCAACTGTTTTCAACCCCCTTCCAAACCCCAATAATTTTCGAAGCCAATTCGTTTTTCATTTAAAAGTTTTATTACTGGTTGTTGGTTCCTGGAAGTGCTGACAGATGCTGACTGCTTGCTTTTCAGGCTCGGGAATCTCCAGCTATGGAAATAACCCCCAAGATGTCCCCAAAGCCTTTGAGGATTGCATGCAAAAAGTCAAGGGGCAGGTTCCATCCCGCCTCCACAGGTCCACCCCCATTCACCTGGGAGCCACGGCTGGGATGCGCCTGCTGAGGTAAGGGCTGTGCGGCACACAGCAGCCCATTTGGCCGAAATAGCAGAGAATGTGTTGAACCTCGCCGGGAATGTAACTCTATTTCTGGGAACAACCCCTGTCCCTCAAAAAGAAGCCCATATTCTGCCATACATTTGGGCTTTAAAGGTTGGGAAACTTTTAATCTTTAATATCCAGAAAGAAACACTTCTAAAATTCTTTCCCTCTCCCTTGGTAATTTTACTGAGAACTCTGAAAAAGACAGGTAATATGAAATCTGCTCATGGGGTAGAACTCTAGTTTGACACTTGGTATTTTGACACCTGTGAACAACCAGCTAAATTTGGTAGTAAGTACAACCCATAGCTATGTAGCTTCTGCTCGTGTACAAAATACCGCTGAAACCTGCTTTAAAACAAGGGCATGTCTGTACCTCAAAGCAGCCAAAGCTTTTGGAGTTGTTATGAAAGAAGCATCTCATTTTGCTCACTCAATCAGTTCCTTCTAAATTTGTGGTCATGGCTTCTAGACCAATTGCATTGTTTTTGAATGCATTTTCTCTTTTTACTCCATTATAGCATTTCCTTGACCTTAATATTTTTTAAAAACTTTCCAAAAAGAAACATCAAACTTAAATCTACTCAGGGTAGAGGCTACTCCAAGTATTGGCAGAAGGTTTTATCAAAGAAGACAACACTCATTCTGCTTCAAAGGCACTTTATCTACAATTCCAACCATGCAAAGTTATCTACGTATGGGCATTAAGAAAATATAAAAAGAACAAGCAGCCAGGCGCGATGGCTCACGCATGCAATCCCAGCACTTTGGGAGATCATGAGGTCAGGAGTTCAAGACCAGCCTGGCCAACATGGTGAAACACCATCTCTACTAAAAATACAAAAATTAGCTGGGTGTGGTGCCAAGCACCTGTAATCCCAGCTACTTTGGAGGCTGAGGTAGGAGAATTACTTGAACCTGGGGGACAGAGGTTGCGGTGAACCGAGGTACCACTGCACTCTAGCCGGTGCAACAGAGTGAGGCTCCATCTCAAAAAGGAACAAACAGAGCTACTTTAACAGGGTCATTAAAAGAAATCATGAAGTACTCTCCATTAGATTCTTGTTTCTAATCTGATTTCCTGGTTGACCACGTTAAATGTGAAAGGAATTTAGATTTCTTTGCTCACTCTCGGAATCTGCAGTGTATTTCTAAATTAGTTTAGCGTAATAGAAATGACCTCAAAACTCCTTCCTTTTTCGTTTTCCTTCTTATAAAAACAGTTCTTCCAACAAGGGAGGAGCTGAAACCACATAATCTCAGAGAGCACAACAAGGCAGCCCCTTTACAGGCTATTAATTCCATGGACCTAAAATTCTCATCTGCTGTAGTGATGCTTCCTTAACACGACACATGTAGAGCTATTTACAGAAAAGCCAGCAGCAGGATGTGCTCATGAGGTTTTCAACTTGGAGACTGAATGCTTAGAGCTTAGTTTGTGAAATCCTTCTGCTTTCCCTCTATTCAATTCACATTTTCAGGCTGAATTTCCCATTTCAGAATATATTAGGAAGCTGCTTACTCTGCCTGGGATTTGACTTCAGGTAACAAGTTTCAGAACAGGACCTGAGCAATACCGACAATATGAATGGGATAAGTGACTATAATCAGGGAGAAATATTGGTGCAATTCTATTAAATGTCTGTAAAAGCTACTCTAAAATATCTTTGTTTTACCAGTAGGGTTTGTACATATATAGGCTTTGTGGTTGAACGGGCTCTGAATTTTTCTTGGTTGCTTCCCGCCCCGGCCCCCAGTCTTTCAGTGAAAAATAATTAAAAGGCTCTGCAATGTATAGCTCATGGCAAAAGCCCTGGAACAGAAAGCTTATCCCTTAGGGAAAAGGTGAGTATCTCCTTTGAATCAATTAAGTGCTAACTCTTGTAAAACTGTTTTCTGATGATGATCTATTTCTTCTGAGGAACTAGCTGATATTTTAATTACTAGACAAGTAAAATAGGAAAGAAAACGATGAGAATTGGCTGGGATGAAAACTGATGAAACTGGGAAAACTTTGAATTATTTTCCAAGCAGTGAGAATCAGCCCCTGATTTGGGATGGATTCTGCTTGCAGCCCTGCGCCTTCTTCTTCCTGAGCCAAGAGTCAGCCAGTGCCCCTCACTTTCCTAACCCAGAGATGGAAGAGGAAATAATCTCTCAAGTGAGCTTTCTTTCATAGGGTAAAGTGGCAGCAGATGGACGCCATAGCACTCTGTCACCAGGGGTATAATGCTGTGTCGCCAATCCTCCGTGGGTCAGCACACCGGCGGTTCTTCAATCCAGTGGCAGCCATGATGACTGTCATATCCCTTCATGCTGAAGCCCTCCCAAAGAGTGAAGCAGAAACAGCTGAAAACTCAATGTTCTTCCTTCCCCCCTTCCAACCAAGCTCCCTTTCCTTCTGGTCAGACGAGGGTTCTTCATATGGTGCCTCCAAGAGATTATTTATGCCACTCTTATGCCTTCAACGATCTCCTTTCCTCTGCTGATCTGCGACAGAGCAATGGCAGTTAAACAGGAGGCTCTTTTGATACAGGAACAGATGATGTGGGTGGGGAGAACAAGTCGTACTTTTACTGAAAGTGATTTTCCTGCTTGGCAGTTTGACAGGTGACAAGTGCATCCTGCCTTCACGGTTGCCCCAGAAGTCTTCAACTTGCAAAAGGGACTGTGGTGTACAGCACACATGGGGAAAGTCCTTCATCCCCACCAGCAGGGAGATGGGGAAGTTTGCATGTTCACCTGAGTGAGACTACACATTTTCAGACTCGTATTGTGTGGGCACTCAGACTTTTTTGTTCTGTGCCTTGCATAGGTTGCAAAATGAAACAGCAGCTAATGAAGTCCTTGAAAGCATCCAAAGCTACTTCAAGTCCCAGCCCTTTGACTTTAGGGGTGCTCAAATCATTTCTGGGCAAGAGGAAGGGGTATATGGATGGATCACAGCCAACTATTTAATGGGAAATTTCCTGGAGGTGTGTGGAAGCAAACGCATGGTTTTTAATCTTACTGTTTGTTCTATCCCTTGTGAGTGGCAGGCTAAGTAGAGGCACATCCCATCAGGGACATCCATCCTGTATCATTCCTATCAGGTAATGCATTAGGGAAATACCTGTGAGACAATAGCTGAGAAAAGACATATACAGCTGGGGAGAAAACATGGTCATAAACAGGACTAAATGCTTGGGAGGGGGGAAGTCTCATCCCTTTACTAGCTTGTAAGAAACTGAAGAGGGTGAGATCTAAATTTAACACTAGGCTATGGGTCTCTGGGAGGGCAGCTGAAGAATAACCCTTCAGACAGGCTCCATGGCCATCTGGAATTTACAGAGCCCTCAGGAAGTCTGTATCCCTAAGTTCCCAGAGACAGAAGGAAGTCTTCACCTGTGTTCCCAGCTCTCTTCACAGGCCAATCCCTGCACTCCCTGCTCCCTTGGTGCAGAGGAAAGTTGACTCCAAGAGACAACTGCCATGTTACAAGGGGCACAAAACAGGAGTTACCCAGAGTATGTGTAGCCCAAGACCTATTTTGTTCCCCTTCAAATACATTTTAAGTTTTAAAATAATTACCCATAATTAACATTTGGTAAATTTCATATAAAAATCCATACTTGTAGCTCTCCTGACCTCCTCACTCCTCCCCAAAATTGGAGGACATGGTCACAGTAGGCTCACATTCCTGGATGGTAACGAGGACAGTGTGTAATTTGTGGATTCTCCAGTTTGCCGCAGACCCCACCACTCCCTGTTAATAAACCTAATCTACTTCACTCATTTATTACTTACCTTTGTTACCTGCCCAGCTCCTGTAAGCATTTCAATTCACCACTTCTGAAAGAAAAGGAGAGAATTGGCCCCAAATGCTCCCTCTGTCCTACTTCTTAGCAGTAGGAGATGAGGCTTGGGTGGAGAACTCTGGGCAAACGTAGATGGTGCCTTTGGCCTTCTTTCTCACTTCCTTTTCTCACTGTGCAGAAGAACCTTTGGCACATGTGGGTGCACCCGCATGGAGTGGAAACCATAGGTGCCCTGGATTTAGGTGGTGCCTCCACCCAAATATCCTTCGTGGCAGGAGAGAAGGTGGACCTGAACACCAGTGACATCATGCAGGTGTCCCTGTATGGCTACGTGTACACGCTCTACACACACAGCTTCCAGTGCTATGGCCGGAATGAGGCTGAGAAGAAGTTTCTGGCGATGCTCCTGCAGGTACTTGGTGGGGATAGGGGGTGGCAGGTGTTCTCTTGAGGGCTGGAGCTGAGGGGAGAATGCCCTGCCTTCTCGGGTCTGTCCTCTCCACTTCAGTTGAAAGGTAAATGGAAATAACAGCATTTTCCAATTTATTCCTGGGGGTCCAAGTCCCTTTCCTCTCTCTCTCTTTCTCCCCCTCCCCCATGTTACCACTTCCAGTGAATTTGAGTAAGAAGTCTAGGGAAGTTCCAGAGCTTCACATGTTTTGCAAATGACTCAAGACCTGGAATCCCTCTAAGGACACAAACCGTTTTAAACCAGAAGCTAAATAAGCTTGAGAATTTTGAGACTCCCCTGGGTGTAGGCAAAATAATATTAGTGGTCATAAGAGAAACGCATGCTGAAGGGGAAGAGGGCCGAGCCCTCCCCAGGCTCAGCCTCCTTTTAGACGGGTCTATGTTAGGCAGGCTCGATACCCTTTATGTGGTAGAACTTCAGAGCAACCACATTCCATCAGGTTGGTCAGTAGTTCGTTTGGGAAATGCTCAGGACCCAGAAGGCCACTCCAGGCATTGGCCGGCAAGCTGCTGCTCATACCGAACTCAGCGTCATGCAGTGTGTGTCCGTGAGGGCACCGACTCCATAGATGAGACCCCAGACCCAAACTCCAGTGCTCAGGGGACGTCAATCTGAGCCGTGGCTGGGTGGCTGAGAGGAAGAGGGGGACTTTGACTACCTAGAGGAGTATGTGGAAATCAGGACTTGAGGGCAGGGGGCTAGGGTGGGTTAGCCTGTGAACACAATGGACACATCAGTAGGTTAACCTACATTCCTCCAACCTACTCTGATAACTGCAGACAGGAGCAGACTCAATCCTGAAGGGGAGTTGAGGGGATCACAAAAGCGCATCTTCAGCAGTACTCACGACTTCAGACCCCTGCATTTGCCCAGTGTTCATGCAGGGTGGGTTGTGAGAACTCAGCTTCCGGTTATGGCCCCTCCCCCAAACCTCTCCTGAATCCTCCCAGAAAAGGCTGAGGCCCCAGGACACATCCATGGGACATTTATTGTCAGGAGAGTCTGAGCACTGCCAGGAAAGGACAGATGTGAGAACCCTGCAGGCAACCCTCAACTACCCTTCTGTATTAATCCGTTCTCACACTGCTATAAAGAAATACTTGAAACTGGGTAATTTATAAAGAAAAGAGGTTTGTTTAATTGGTTCATGGTTCTGTGAGCTATACAGGTTTCTGCTTCTAGGAAGGTCTCAGAAACTTACAATCATACTAGAAAGTAAAGGGGCAGTAAGCACATCTTACATGCAAGAGCAGGAGGAAGAGAGAGCACGAAGGGGAAGGTGCCACATGCTTTTAAATAACCAGATCTCATGAGAACTCACTCACTATCATGAGAACAACAAGGAAGAAATCCGCACCCCATGACCCAGTCACGTCCCACCGGGCCCCTCCTGCAACACTGGGATTACAATTTGACATGAGACAAAGTCAACCCATGTCACCTTCCATGGCTCCCACCCTAACTTCCACCTCCCTCCCCCAGTCAGCCAAAGCAAACCCCACAGGTAACACAATTAACCCTCCCTGGCAGGGGTCTCAATACTTACCACTCATCCCCACTTGCTCATTAAAGTAGTTCAACGGACATGCTTCTTTCTTTCTGGGAGAGAAGTTCTGGGAAACCCTCTTTTCTCCAGCTCTTTTTACTGCTAGCGGTGCGTAGTATCCATATCCTTTTCCTCTGGTTCTGACCCTCGCAGGGGTAGAATGTGGAGGCTCAAGTGAAATCCTCCTTTTACTAGGGCGAGTGAAGGTCAGGGAAGCTAACCATCTAAATTTGACTGGCCCTGCAGAATGTGTGTTTGTCTGTCTGCATGTGACTGTGTGTTTGTGTCCTTATACAGTGTTTCCTAAACAATGATTATGTATCCAGCCGTCCACAGAAGAGAAGTAAATACTTCACCTTTCTGAGGTCTGATTTAGGCTTGAGAATGCCAGTCTCCAAATGTGAGCCCAGCACTGGGGGTGGAGGAGTGAACACAGCCTCTCACAGTCAGCTCACAGGGACAGGGACACAAGTCTTCAATTTGCCTGGTAACCTCTAGATGCCTGATAGGGTGGCTCTGCCCTTAGAGGCTTCTGACTCAGCTAAGAGTAGAGATTCGGCTGAGATGAGGATTACCAACAAATGCATGTAAGGACCTGCCTGACCAACAGTTTCATAGGTCAAATATGTATTGCCAAGCCCTGACTTAGAAGGTTCACACAAATGACTGCATCATAAATTGATGCAATATTGAGTGAGTAAATTCCATCAGTCTGGATCTTGTTTCCTCATCTGTAATATACGGAACTATGTAGTGCGGTGAGAATAACACCACAAGTGAAGTTCATAAACCCTGGTTCATAGCTACCCTAAGAGCTGGATCAGATAATGTGAGGGACAGCCTAGTGCTATGCCTGGCACAAGGTAACTGTCACACACACACACTTTTTCCTGTCCCTACTTCAATTATCTACACAACCTATGATCAAGGACATGCTGACATAGAATAGCATTTTTTATTTCTCTCTTGGCATTTGAGGGTAGTGATAGTGAGCATTTGCAAAAGGGAAATACTTGGCTTTCCACAAAAGAGTGGTTTCTAACACCTCACTCTTACACCTACAGAATTCTCCTACCAAAACCCACCTCACCAATCCCTGTTACCCTCGGGATTATAGCACCAGCTTCACCATGGGCCATGTATTTGACAGCCTGTGCACTGCGGACCAGAGGCCAGAAAGTTATAACCCCGATGATCTCATCGCTGTTGACGGAACTGGGGACGCATCACTATGTAATGCGAAGGTGGCTTCCGTATTTGACTTCAAAGCTTGCCGTGATCAAGAAACCTGTTCCTTTGACGGGGTCTATCAGCCAAAGATTAAAGGGCCATTTGTGGTAAGAGCAAAACCTTCTGAAAGGCTCCTTTCTTTCCCTGCAGAATATTTATTTCACACTTTTCTGTTTCTCCTCTGCTGACCTGTTAGCCACCTTCTTACTCCTCACCCGTAAACCTTTCTATTAAACCCCATTCTGAAAACTAATTTCCTTCTATATTACTTGTTTCCAGGCTTTTGCAGGATTCTACTACACAGCCAGTGCTTTAAATCTTTCAGGTAGCTTTTCCCTGGACACCTTCAACTCCAGCACCTGGAATTTCTGCTCACAGAATTGGAGTGAGGTCAGTATTTAAAGAGAAAGGCTCAATGTCAGTACAAAAAAAAAAAAAGTATGGTAGAATCTATTTCATGTGTGTATATTCTGAATTTAGCCTTTATGCTCTTCTAGTTCCAGCACAGCTGTAAAATAAAGGGAAGAAGGGAACCTACCCCATACCTGTAGTGTGAATTAATGGTATAACTATGTATACAATGGTTAGAATAATATTTGGCATATAATAAGCACTCAGTGAGTTTAAAGATTAGTATATTGTGATATTATATAGGGATATTTTAATAATTATATTACATGATTGTATGATTGTATTATAAAGTCATTTTTATTATAAGATTCTTTAAAATATGTTTTAATCCAAGTTGTTTCTTTTAAAACATACGTGCTTGCCCTGCCTCTCAGCTGTTTGAAACCTCCTTTCAGCTCCCACTCCTGCTCCCCAAATTTGATGAGGTATACGCCCGCTCTTACTGCTTCTCAGCCAACTATATCTACCACTTGCTTGTGAACGGTTACAAATTCACAGAGGAGACCTGGCCCCAAATACAATTTAAAAAAGAAGTAAGTCACGGCACAAATCATTTTCTCTCCTTCTTCCCAACAGCGAGGTTTGTATGTATGTATGTATGTAGAACAAATGTAGAAGGGAAGAGGGCACTGAGTTACACTCACCGGGTGAAAGCCAATCAGACCGATCCCTTGTGAGTTTCCCAGAAGAGATGGTGGAGAATTTAGAGGAGTTGCTTACAGGTGTCCATCCTCCTGGAAAAGCCTGGAAGCCAACGGCCAGCGGACTGGGCAGCCCTGGAGGGCAGAGGCTTGTCTTAGTATCTTCATATTCCCAGCACTCAGCACCAGGGCTGGAGCCTTGAAGGTGCTTAGTCAACGTTTGCTGAATTCAGAAATAAATATGTTGAGGATATGAGACTTTTCATCCTGAAAAAAGTCTTTAAATGTAACAATTTTTTTAAAGAGGATAGTAACGAATTCTTCTCCATTTTATGCCTATGTCAGAGTAAGATACAGGCCTTAGAGCCTGATGGATTTGCATTAGCATTAAATAAACTTTCAATGAACCTGAAGTCATTATATTTACTAACAAAGATTTGAGGGATGGGGAAGATATTCTTAGTTCACTGTTTTTATATCTACAAATATATGTTTTTATTATGTATTATATATACACACACATATATACATATATATACACACATATATATACATATATATACACACACACACACACACACACACACACACACACACACACACACATATATATATATATATATATATATATATATATATATGATGGTCAAGTGACCAGAATGGTCCAAAGCTGAAGTCACAGCTGTCAGCTGGTGACCAGTGAAAGAACCTTCACACCTTGTTTCCAGGCAGGGCTCAGTCTTGTGAATATGTTCAGCTGGCAGTATATTCCCCAGGTCCCAGAGAATTTTCTCATTTCAGGAGGAGCTGGTAGGAAGCCTGGAGGATGCCTGGAGTCAGCCTCTTCAATACCAGCTTCAGCAATATTAGATGAAACCAACCAATATCCTGCATTAGGCCTGTGACTATCTACTTTTCCCTAAATAAAACTGACTCATCTACAAAAAAATAAGGCTGTCTGGAGACATAAGGACTGTTGGTAGCATGTACTTGCTAAACTTTGCTTCTAATAAATCTAATTACCAGTAAAGTTTATTATAAGATGGAGAATGACTTCCCATTTGAATACCAGTTTGAATTGACATAATATTCTAAGTTAAAAGTTCCTCTCTTTAATTGTAAAGAATTTTATATCCAGCCAAATTTGTATGTGAAATTAATATGTGAAGGTATAAAAAGACTTAAGAAGATTTGCTGCACAAAGACTTATATTGAAAATACTTTTGGTGGAAGTAATAAAATAAGAGAAAGAAATCCAGGAGATGTTACAAAAACATAGGGAGTAAGAATAAATGATGCTGTGGCTTAACATTTATATTAAAAAGGCTGGGCACTGTGGCTTACGCCTGTAATCCCAGCAGTTTAGGAAGCTGACACAGGCAGATCACCTGAGGTCAGGAGTTCAAGACCAGCCTGACCAACATGGTGAAACCCTGTCTCTACTAAAATACAAAAAATTAGCTGATTGTGGTGGTGCCTGCCTGTAATCCCAGCTACTCAAAAAGCTGAGGCAGGAGAATTGCTTGAACCTGGGAGGCAGAGGTTGCAGTGAGCTGAGACCTTGCCATTGCACTCCAGCCTGGGCAACAGAGCAAGGCTCAGTCTCAAAAAAAAAAAAAAAAAAAAAGTGTATTTAAAAATACAGAAAACGAACACTAAAGAAAAGTATACAAGAAGAATCCATTTATATGACCCAAGTGTAGAAAATATCCAACATGGTAAGGGTGCAGTAAGGAATTATAAGATACAGGGACATAAGAGTAACCTAAAATTCTCTTCTCGTTAAAGGGAACACATAGATATCCTCTTTTATTTTTTTTTGAGATGGAGTTTCTTTCTCTGTTTCCCAGGCTGGAGTGCAATGGCACAATCTCAGCTCAGTGCAACCTCCACCTCCTGGGTTCAAGCAATTCTTCTCCCTTAGCCTCCCAAGTAGCAGGTATTACAGGCACCTGCCATCATACCTGATTAATGTTTGTATTTTTATAGAGATGGGGTTTCCCCATGTTGGCCAGGCTGGTCTTGAACTCCTGACCTCAGGTGATCCACCTACTTTGGCCTCCCAAAGTGCTAGGATTACAGGAGTGAGCCACTACGCCCAGCCACAGATATCATTTTTAAGGCAGGAAAGAAGAAAAAAATATATAGAGAAATAGCCCCTAATTATCAAACACTACCCTGAAGAAAGCTGGTATAACTGTCTAATATCTGGCAAAGCAGTCATAAAGACAAAGAGCTTCATTCTAGACAGAGAGGGTTACAACATAATGATAAAATGTTCAAGATGGCAAAAGTAAAACATTTATACACCTGATGAAACACCCTAAAAACATGTAAAGCAAAAATGGTTAGAACTACCAGAAGAAATTGATAGTCGGCTTCCCATTTGGGCTGATTTCTTATTCCTAGAAACCGGTCCTGGGATCAGTAAACCACTCATTAGCCTCTTTCTCAAGCCACAAACACTCCTGTACTTCTGGACAACAGGAACATTTTCAATGTTCTTAACTGTGCCTTCTTCAATCTTGGCTGTGATAAGATTGTGAGGATTTGTTCTTTTGACTGTTTCTTCTGCAGTGCTGGAGGTGAGATTCCCCAAGCCTTTGTGGCTACGGTGTGGTGTCTTAACTTGGGCAAGTCCTCTGACCTCCTTGGGCCACAATTTCCCATGGGAGCTTTGTGAGGTTGATAGTGGTGTGCCTTGGGTATGAGCCTTGCCCTGAGAACTGAGCCATCTTCTCTACTCCACAGGTGGGGAATAGCAGCATTGCCTGGTCTCTTGGCTACATGCTCAGCCTGACCAACCAGATCCCAGCCGAAAGCCCTCTGATCCGTCTGCCCATAGAACCACCTATCTTTGTGGGCATCCTCGCCTTCTTCACAGCGGCAGCCTTGCTGTGTCTGGCATTTCTTGCATACCTGTGCTCAGCATCCAGAAAAAAGAGGCGGTCCCAGCATGCCTTTGACCATGCAGTGGATTCCGAGTGAGCCTCCAAAGCAGGTCCTGGAACCCAGTGGCTGCTTAGATCCAGCGTGGGTGGCACCACCAGGCAATGCAGGTGAAGTGGCTGCCTTCAGGAGATACAACTAACTAGAATCAAACACCTAGGTCGCGTGCCTCTCCAATACTGATTTCTGCCGAAGGAGTGCTTTGGCTCCTCTGTGCATAGTGCTCTTCAGAGACCTCACTACCTATGTGCTGATCTACTGGGGAACAGAGAAAGACAGGCCACCAAGGTCAGGCTCTTTATTCTAAGTCCCCCAGAGGAAGAGTAAGTTGAGAATATATCAGTTTAATGTTGAAGAATTGACCTCAGGGCTCAGTTTCCATTTCCCTCCCTCAGTATTCTTCCTGGCAAGATACCCAGTAAGCATTTGGCCTGATCAGATATCTCATTTTATAGTTTTTTTCCCATTGGTCTTTAAGACTTTCTTGTAGCAATCCTGTCAGCAGTGAACCCCCTTAGATTATTAGAATATAGTATCTGGGGAGAAGATTTCTTTCCCTCAGGGCAGTGGCCACAGCCAGGCTTCTGTCATGCAGGTGGGTCCTGAAGCACAGAGACACAAAAAGTTCTCCCGGAAAACGACGGACCATTCTCCAAGTGGAATTCCCACTCGGGCTCTGGTCGCTAGATCGCAACCTGTGTGTCTGTCATCATCCTCATCGCACCATCGTATCGCTCTCCCTCCCATAAAAACACATTCACCCCAAGCAAAGACACTGCATCCCAGATTTTACTGCCTCTGCTAGGCTTCTGCTTAGCAAAGGGCTGCCTTTCCATTGTTATCATGGTGTGTGTATTTTTGTCACCATTCCCACAAGTATACTTGATGTTCCCACACAGAACCTCCTACTCTGTGAGTTACTAGCCAATCACTTCCCTAGATCATAGACCTCTCTGCATAGAAGTTGTAGGCATTGACTTTGGGGAAAGAAAAGAAAGCTGCAGGAATATTTATCTCCAAAGTCAAATGAGAAAGAACTCCAGCAAATCCAGTGGTTACAAAGTAAAAATCAACATTATTTCATATTGCTGTTTGTTAGCTGAATATGGAATAAAGAACTATAATTTTATTTTGACTTGCAGTTGGTGTGTGTGTGCGTGTGTGTTCACTTGCACATGGTACTCTTTCTCCTACGGACCCTAGGCGATATTTATGAGAGAATTTTTTTCCTAGTGAATTAAGAAACCCATTCATTAATGTCACCTTTATTCCAGAGAGTTCCAAGTGCCCTCACTTCGATAAAACTTTGACTGCTTGAGATTATTGAATCAAACACTTCCGTACCTTATTTGAAATCATAAGCCTCTGCGAGGCCACAACCTGACACTCAGATCTTGAGTCTCATCTGGAATGGCTACTTCTATCCCAGACTGTGCCTTTGCTCACATCCTCCTTACTGTATAGTAGATCTTCCTCCCACCCATCCAAATCATGTATGTTTCTCAAGGTCCAGTTCTAGGACCTTCCTAGAACTTTCTTTCTTCCACAAAGCTTTCCTTGCACACACACACGATACTCTGTCTTCTGGACCACCTTTTAAAAACCAGCCACATAAGTCCTGGCATTGTTATTTATCTTGGTGTATGTGTACAGCGTATTTCTAAAAGAGATAGTAGGCTACTTAAGGGCAAAGCCTATTGTACATCACTCCTCATTCATTCAACGAACATCTAAAAACACCTATTATGGCTTGATACCTTTCAGGTGTGATTTTGGATTTGGACATATGCTATGAACATGGTATTTATTCATATTTGTTGATTGAAGTAGTTTCCATGAGTAAGAAATGGGCAATAAACTACAGAGATATCAGTAAAAAAAATAACATCCAAAATCACCAAGAGTTTGCAAGAAAAAAACATGTCTGTGCAGGAAAGAAAGCCAAAGCCCTATGAAGCCAATTCCTCGTCAACATTTCTAACTCATTTGGGAAGTCAGAATAAGCTAAGGAAGTACTTCAGGTTTTCTGACAAACACTGAAGAATTTTTTTTTTTCCTGCTCTCCCTCCAATGCAAAACCATAAGCAAAAGCTTCCAAGGACCGAATAATTTTTTACCAGGTGCAGTAGCTTACACCTGTAATCTCAGCCCTTCAGGAGTAGCTGAGGCAGCTCGGGATTGCTTAAGCCCAGGAGTTTGAGAGCAGCCAGGGAAATATTGGCGAAACCTCGGGAAAACCTCTTCTCTCCAAAAAATACAAAAATTAGCCAGGAGTTGTGGCCCCACTTGGAGTCCCAGCTACTTGGAAGGTTGAGGTAGGAGAATCACCTGAGCCTGGGGAGGTGGAGGCTAGAGTGAGCCAAGATCATGCCACTGCACTCCAGTCTGGGCAACAGAGCAAGACTCAATCTCTCTCTCTCTCTTCTCTTCTCTTCTCTTCTCTCTCTCTCTCTCTCTCCTCTCTCTTCTTTCTCTCTCTCTCTCCTCTCTCTCTCTCTTCTCTTTCTACCTCTCTCTCCTCTCTCTCTCCCCCCCTCCTCTCTCTCTCCTCTCTCTCTCTCTCTCTCTCTCACACACACACACACACACACACGAATTTTTATAGAGAGACCACTGTGGAATCTACGGTTCAAGTAGCATAGTTAGTTACTGTTACTGTGGTGAACAGAATTCTCCTTTGCCTTCTGGTGTTACTCCAATTATGTGGTGACATTATCACATGGCAAAAGGATTTGCAGATGTCATTACAAATCAGTTGACCTTAAAATGGAGAGCTTATCCAGGTAGGCCTAACCCCATCACATGAGAGCTTTATAGGCAGAGCATTTTCTCCAGAAGAGGAAGTCAGAGATTCAAAGCATGAGAAGGATTCCGCAAGCCATTGCCAACTTGAGGATGGAGGGGCCATGTGCAAAGGCTCTAAGTGTAACGTCTAGAAACTAAGAGCAATCCCTGGCATCAGCAAAAACCAGGAATCTCGGTCCTACAGCTTCAAGGAGTTGGATTCTGCCAATAACCTGAATGAACTTGGAAGCATGATAAGATAAGAGTCCAGGCCAGATCATATCTTGATTTCAGCCTTGAGAGACCCTAAGTGGAGAACCCAGTTGAGCCGACCCTGGCTTCTGACCTACAAAACTGCAAAGTAATAAGAAGATGTTTAAAGCCACCAAATTTGTGGCAATTTGTTACATAGTCACAGTAAACTAACACAACTATGGAACTCCAAGCCCCAAAGCTCCAACCAAAGGAAGCAAGTCTTCTGATGTGAAATATGTGATGAAGATAAAGTGATGAGCAACCCAGATAGTGTCTATTCCTAACCACAGCTACGTAAAAAAAGGCACGGGTTCAGAGGGAAAAGTATGGGCCAGCACCATCCAGCTATCCAGTGATTTGCGGGATAGAGACTGGGGCTTGAGCTTCGGGCCTGGTTGAACCTAAAACCCATTGCATAACTTTTCCTTTCACACAGAAAGGCAGTATCATATAGTACCTAGGAATCTGGCTTTAGCTTTCTGTAATCTAACATACCCATTCACATACAGACACCTGATTTATAACAGAGGTGTCACATCAGAACAGTGGGAAATGCAGGACAACTGGATATCTTCATGGAAAAAAAAATGACATTGACCCTTTCCTCACTCCATTTGTAAGAATCGTTTCCAGGTAGCTTAAAGACCTAAGTGTGAAAAACCTATAAAGGTTTCGAAGAAAATATAGGAGAACATTTTTAGGAGTCTGGGTAAGGGAAGGGTTTCTTAAATACTACACAAAAAGCATTAAACATAAGAAAGTACTTAATACATTAAAAGTTAAAACTTCTGTTCCTCAAAGAACATCATTAAATGACTGAAAAGACAAGCCACACAGTGGAAGAAGGTATTCACAACATGTAGAGCTAATAAAGGAATACTTTCCAAATTACATGAAGAACGCCTACAAATCAGTGAGAAAAAGGAAGATGAGTCCATTTTTCTAAACATGCAATAGTCTTAAAAAGACACTTTACAAAAGGAGATATCTAAATGTCTAATAAACACATAAAACGATGCTGAATCTCATTATTGGGATAATGCAAATTAAACTACAGTGAAATAGCACGATATGTTCATTCTTTTAGCAAAAATTAAAAGTCAATAGCAAGTCTTAGTGAGGATGTGGTTCAGAACTCTCCTATACTGCTGTGGGAATGCAAGCTAATGCAGCCACTCTGTAAAACTGCAGTATTGTCTAATAAAGTTGAAGATACACGCACAAAATGACCTAGAAATTCCAGTCCAAAGTATATACCTTAGAGATATATAGTCTTAGATATACCAGGATACATGCCTAAGAATGGTTTTAGCAGCAACCAAGATGCCTATCCCACAGAATGAATGAATAAATAAATAGTGATATAGCCATTGATACATCAATGAAAACAAAAGAACTATAAATGTATGCTTAATATTGATGGATCTTACAAACATAATGTCGGGGATTAAAAGCAAGTCACACACAAAAATATGTAGTATAATTCCACTAATACAAAGTTTAAAAACAGACAAAACTAAACACAGAAGTTAAACTCTTAAAAAAAAAAGCAAGGAAATGATGACTCTGAAATTTGGGAGGAGATAGAGGCTGCCTCTGGAAAAAGATAAATGGGTGTCTTAGGCGGCTTGAACTGCCATAATAAAATACTATGAATTCAGTGGCTTAAACAACAGAAATTAATCTTCTCAGTTTTGGAGCCTAGGAATTCCAATATCAAGGCATCAGCTAATTCCTAGTGAGGGCTCGATTCCTGGCTTGCAGATGACGGTCTTCATGCCGTGTCCACACAGCCTTTCCTCTGAGCTCTCAGGAACAGAGAGAAAGAGAGAGAGAGAGAGAGAGAGAGAGAGAGAGAGAGAGAGAGAGAGAGTGAGGGAGGGAGGGAGAGAGGGAGGGAGGGAGGGAGGGAGGGAGGGAGGGAGCACGCTCTGACAAGGGCATGAATCCCACCATGAGGATCACTCCTTCATCATCTCATCTAACCCTAGTTATCTCCCCTCCCGAAGGCTCCATCTCCAAATCCTACATTGGGGGTTAGGGCTTCAACATAATACATTTGGGGGATTGCAAATATTCAGTTCATAACAGCAGGGCTTCTGGGGTGAGTGTTATTCCACAACTAGGTAGTGGTTGCAGATGTTCCCTTTTCAACCATTTACACACCATCTGTATGTGCTATACGACAACGGAAAGTCACTGCTGTGCAGATCTCGGCTAACTCAAGACTTTGCTCCTTACCGTAACCTTTACGGTTTTCAGCATGTCTTTCAGTCTCTTTGAGCCTTGACCTCCTCATACATAAAACAGGCATAATACCTACCTCATGGGATAGTTAGGAGAAAATATAGCACTTAGCCTGTGCATGGCATGGAGGTAGCCAATAAATACAAGTTTTAAAACACATTTCTTTCACCCATTTACTTATTAATTTTCACCCCTCATACTTTCACCAGTCTACTATGTGAGAAGCCCTGAGCTAAATGACTAAGGGTGTCATAGAAATGAGACTGTCTTTTCTCTTGAAACATGAGACTTGACCGCCCTCTGTCGGAGCCATGGAAAAAAATTCTTCCCAGGTTGAGCCTCTTACCCTTTATTTTTCCTCTCTAAAAGTATTAGGAAATCAAACCATTTCTTTCTAATGCAAAAATATTTTTAATATTATAAAATAAAGAGATAATTGTAAATCTGAACACTTGATATTATCAATGAATTCCTGTTAATTTTTATTTAGGTAAAATAATGGTACAAGTCAAGCGCCGTGGCTCATACCTCTAATCCCAGCACCTTGGAAGGCAGAGGCAGGTGGATTACTTGAGGTCAGGAGTTGGAGACCAGCCTGGCCAGCTTGGTGAAACCCCATCTCTACAAAAAAAAAAAATACAAAAATTATCCAGACATGGTGGCGCACATGTAATTCCAAGCTGCTCGGGAGGCTGAGGCAGGAGAATCGCTTGAAACCGGGCAGTGGAGGTTGTAGTGAGCTGAGATCACACCACTGCACTCCAGCCTGAGTAGAAGGGCAAGACTCTGTCTCAAAATAAATAAATAAAATAAAATAACGGTATCTTGGTTTTCTTTACTTTTTTTTTTTTTTTCCAAGAATCCCTGCTGTTCAGATCAGTGGTTCCCAACCTTTTTGACACCATAAACTGGTTTCATGGGAGAGAATTTCTCCACGGACGGTGGAGGGCTGAGAGGGGAGGCAGAGATGGTTACAGGATGAAACTGTTCCACCTCAGATCATCATAAGGAGCAAACAACCTAGACCCCTCACAGGCGCTGTTCACACTAGGGTTCCCATGGCCACAGGAGGTGGAACTCAGGCAGTGATGCTGGCTCATCCACTGCTCAATGCCTGCTGTGTGGCTCAGTTCCTAAACAGGCCACGGACCAGTACACTGCCTGGCTAGGGGCTGGGGACCCCTGGTTTAGGTACTTGCTGAACTATTTCCAGATGACATGCTATGTCTGGCCTATCAGTCCAAGTTCAACCAGAGAAATAGAGCCAGTAGGAGTTATATATGAGAGACGTATTGCAAGGAATTGGCTTCCGAGACTATGGGGCTAGCTAGGCAAGTCCTCAGTCCGTAAGGCAATCTGTCAGGAAGTGCAGGCTGGAAGCCTCAGGCATGAACTACCGCTGCATAAACTCACGGTGGAATTTCTTCCTTCTCAGAGAAGTCTCAGTTCTGCTCTTATGGACTTTCAACTGATTTAATCAGACTCACCCAGATTATCCAGGATAAATCCCCTTAAAAATCCGCTAGTTATGGGCAGTAACCACCCCCACAAAATACTTGCACAGCTACACCTAGATTAATGAATCACTGGGTGCTATAGTCTAGCCAAGTTGATACATAAAATTACCCAGCACTTTCACGAATTGATTCGAAATTACAGGGGAGGGGGAGAATTCAGAGGTAGAACTGGCCCATAGTTTGATGGTGATAGTCCTTGAGGTGGGGTGATGAGACACAGGGGTTTATTACAGTATTTTGTCTGCTGTTTTATGTTTACAGTTTTCTAAATAAAAGTTTAACAATATACTTGGAGCCAGGCATGGCAACTCATGCCTGTAATCCCAGCACTTTGGGAGGCCAAGGCAGGCAGATCATGAGGTCAAGAGATCGAGTCCATCCTGGCCAACATGGTGAAACCCCATCTCTACTAAAAATACAAAAATTAGCCAGGCATGGTGGCGCATACCTGTAATCTCAGCTACTCAGGAGGCTGAGGCAGGAGAATAGCTTGAACTGGGAGGCAGAGGCTGCAGGGAGCCAAGATTGTGTCCCTGTACCCCAGCCTGGGTGACAGAGGGAGACTCTGTCACAAAAAAAAAGAAATAAAGAAAAAAATGGAAAAGAAACAAGGCAAGTATTTAGGGACAGCTGCACTATTGTTTTCGTCAGGCATCAGGAAGACATACACTTTGATGTTTCTGTTCCATCAGCCATTTTTACCCAGAAATCTGTTTCTCTCATTATTCTTACCTCCCTCTATTTTCTCTCAGCTGCTTTCTTATTTTCTAAATAAAAGTAGAGTTCCAAGATGTCCATATTTTTATTTTATTTATCATCTGTTTGAGAGATGGGCTCTATGTTGCTGAGGCTGGACCTGAACCCCTGGGCTCATGCAATCCTTCCTTCTCAGCCTCCCCAGTAGCTGGGGCTACAGGTGCACACCACTATGCCTGGCAGGTTCCTGCTTGTGTCCCAACTTGGAAGCATCACTAGAACTTGACCTCTCACAGATGAAAAGGTGTTGTGATGAATACACATAAATACTGAGTGATGCACTTGAAAGATGGAGGAAGAGACAAGTCAAAGGACACAGGTGGCCACTGGAAGCTGAAAAGGCAAGGAAACACATCATTCCCTCAGAGCCTCCAAAAGGAATTTCTAAAAGCCAAAGCGCTGACTTTAGCCCAGTGAAACAAAATTCAGGCTTCTGACCTTCAGAACTGTAAGAGAATACAACTTGTTTTAGCCATTAAAAACAAATTGAAACAAAAGCTGACCTCTCACAACAGAGAGGAAGTCTTACCGCCTTTCTCCAGATTTCAGAACCATGGTCAGGGATTCGAATACACTATGAGAGTGACACGGGCTCCATCACACACTCCTCAGCCTCCCAAAGTGCTGGGATTACAGGGGTGAGCCACTGCGCCTGACGGCTGCAGGGTTTTAAAAGTGCATATTCTTCAACTCAACAACCACATTTGTAAAAATTTATTCTAAGGAAAACTTTTAAAATATGGACATTGATATTACAGATACATATTGAAATATTTATGGATACACTGATACTATGTCTGGGATCTGCTTCCCATAATCCTGTTTGGTGAGCATATTCACATTTTCTCACAAGGGGCTGTTAGGCACATATGGCTATTGAGCTAGTGCAGCTGAGATGTGCTACCAATGTAGAGTACACACTAGATTATGAAGACCTAGTACCGAAAAAAGTAAAATATGTCATTAGTAACTTGGAAACTGGTTATGTATTAATATAATGTTTTGGATATATTGAATAAAATAAAACGTGTTATTAAAATTAATTTCACAGGCCAGGCACAATGGCTTACACTTCTAATCTCAGCACTTTGGGGGCTGAGGTGAGGTGGGAGGATCACTTAAGCCCAGGAGTTCCAGACCAGCTTGGGCAACACAGGAGAGTCTGTCTGTACAAAACATTTAAAAATTAGCGACCGGGAGCGGTGGCTCATGCCTGTAATCCCAGCACTTTGGGAGGCTGAGGGGGGTGGATCACAAGGTCAACAGATCGAGATCATCCTGGTCAACATGGTGAAACCCCGTCTATACTAAAAGCACAAAAAGTTAGCTGGGCATAGTGGCGCGTGCCTGTAATCCCAGCTACTCAGGAGGCTGAGGCAGGAGAATTGCCTGAACCCAGGAGGTGGAGGTTGCAGTGAACTGAGATCGCACCATTGCACTCCAGCCTGGGTAACAAGAGTGAAACTCCATCTCAAAAAAAAAAAAAAAAAAAAGAAAGAAAGAAAAAGAATACCCCTTATAAAAAAAAAAAAACTTCCGTGAACCCACATCATGCTTAAAAATGTAAGAAAAAAAAACACAACAACTTCCAGAGAGAGAGAGGAAAAAACAAAACAGGCCACATACAAATGATCAAGATAAGAGTGGACTTAGCTTTCTCAACAGTAACTCTGGAGGCAACAAGCCAAGGGAGTAGTGGGAGTAATGCCTTCAACATTCTGAGGGAAAATCATGTCCAAGCTAGAGTTCTGTATCCAGCCAAATGATCAATTAGGTGTGAGAACAGAAGAGGCATTTTCAGACAGCTTCCTTTTACAGGGAGCTAACTGGAGGATGTGTCCCACCAAAAGAAGAGACTAAACCAAGAAAATGAAAGGCATGGACTCCAGGAAAAAAGGAGATCGAATGTGGGAGAAGAAGGGAAGGAAATCTCCAGCATGGCGATGAAGGGGTAGCCAGAAACAGCCAGAATGAAGCCACTCAGTCATCTCTAAGGTAAACATCTTGAATAAGATGAAGTTGATAGATAGAACTTTACATCTGGGCAAGGAGTGGTGGCTCATACCTGTAATCCCAGCACTTTGGGAAGCAACCTAGTGAGACCCCTGTCTTTACAATAAAAAAAAAAAAAATTAGCCAGGCATGATGATGTGTGCCTATAGTCCCAGATCCTCGGGAGCTCAGGAGGTCGAGGCTGTAGTGAGCCATGATTGCACCACTGCACTCCAGCCTGGAGGACAAAGTGAGACCCCGTCTCAAAAAAAAAAAAAATGAGATATATTCATGCAATGGAATATTACTCAGCAATAAAAAGGATTGAACTCCTAATAACATGAATGATTCTCACAGACATAATGTTGAGCTGAAGAAAGCAGACCCAAAAGAACACATACTGTGTGATACAGTTTATACGAAGGCCCAGAATAAACAAGACGAGCCTATGGTGAGAGAGAGAGAGGCACAATAGTGGTTGACTCCAAGAAATGAGCTAATGAAGAGGGAACTTAATTCAGCCGCAGAAATGTTCTGTATTTTGGTCTGGATGGTGGTTATGAAGTGGTTCGTGCCTGTAATCTTAGCACTTTGGGAAGCTGAGGCAGGTGGATTGCTTGAGCCCAGGAGCTTGAGACCAGCCTAGGCAACAGGTGAGATCTCCTCTCTACAAAAAAATACCCTCCAAAAAATTAGCCGGGCATGGTGGCTGCGCCTGTAGTCCCAGCTACTTGTGAAGCTGACGTGGGAGGATGGCTTGAGCCTGGGAGGTGGAGGTTGCAGTGTGCTGAGATCACGCCACTCCCCTACAGCCTGGGTGAGTGAGACTCTGTCTCAAAAAAATAAAAAGTAAAAAATAGAAGGGTAACCTGTTGACAAGAACTTCCAGCCCAGGATTGTATACAAGAAGGTTGTTTTCTACGTAAGCAAAGCAGTTTCTTTCAACATTTTATGGTTTCTCCTAGGAATATGCCATTGATGAAATTATAGAAAAGTTTTAGGCCGGGCACAGTGGCTCACACCTGTAATCCCAACACTTTGGGAGGTCGAGGTGGGTGGATCACCTGAAGTCAGGAGTTCAAGACCAGCCTGGCCAATATAGCAAAACCCCATCTCTATTAAAAATACAAAAATTAGCTGGGTGTGGTGGTGTGTGCTTGTAATCCCAGCTACTCAGGAGGCTGAAGCAGGAGAATCTCTTGAACCCATGAGGAGAAGGTTGCAGTGTACTGAGATTGAGCCACTGCACTCCAGCCTGGGAAACAGAGCAAGACTCCACAAAAAAAAAAAAAAGATACTTGGCTGGGTGCAATGGCTAATGCTTGTAATCCCAGCACTTTGGGAGGCCAAGGTGGGTGGATCACTTGAGTCAGGAGTTCAAGACCAGCCTGGCCAACTGGTGAAACCCCATCTCTACTAAAATTACAAAAATTACCTGAGCATGGTGGTACATGCCTGTAATCCCAGCTGCTCAGAGGCAGGAGAATCACTTGAACCCAGGAGGCAAAGGTTGCAGTGAGCTGAGATCATGCCACTGCACTCCAGGCTGGGTGACAGAGTGAGACTCCATCTCAAAATTTATATACACATATATATGTGAAAAAGTTTCAGACCCACATTTATACTCTCTGTGTATACCTCTGCTTAGGCTAATTTGTTCCTCAATTTGGTTTTTTTTTTTTTTAATGCTGATTCTAAGAGAACACATCTAAAATAACATTTTTTCAGTTTTGAACATAATCCCCAGCTGGAGTTTTGTGACGTTGCAGGAACAAGCCCATGCTTTCCTGTATACATTTCAGTGACTACTTATGACTCTCACTTCCACCCTATTTCAACTGTGCTATTCCATATAAAGATTTACAGTTTCATTTCCTATGGCTTTCTGCTGCCCACACAACAGGTGTAAAGTACTAAAAACCCATTTCCTGATATTTGCTTTTGCTTTTTTCCATAGTAATAATTCTAGGACATCTGATTTTTAACAAGGCTCACAGCTGCCAGAAGTGGAGACTTCATTTCCCAGCATTGCTTGTTGGTGTGGTAATGAGGCTGAGTTCTGGCCAATGGGAAGGAAGTGGAAGTGTCCTGATGTGGCATCCAAGACCCTTCCTGAGAAAACGGTGGACACTCACCTTTTGCCCTTTTCCTTTATCCTGCTGTGAAGTGTAAGGGCAGGATCTGTAGGCCTGAAGTAGTGAGAATAAGAGCCACCTCATGGATGTTAGAAATGTAGAGAGTGAGCTGGATCCCTGAGCTGAGGGACCAGGCCAGCCCAGGACCCCTACAGAAGAGGAAAATAAATGTTTAAGCCACAGGTATTAGGAGACTCATTGCTAAAATTGATGCACACACCGGGCACAGTGGCTCAAGCCTGTAATCCCAGCACTTTGGGAAGCCAAGGTGGGTGGATCACCTGAGGTCAGGAGCACAAGACTAGCCTGAACGTGGTGAAACCCCGTCTCTACTAAAAATTCAAAAAATTAGCCAAGCATTGTGGTGGGTGCTTGTAATCCCAGCTACTCGGGAGGCTGAGGCAGGAGAATTACTTGAACCTGGGGGGTGGAGGTTACAGTGAGCCAAGATTACACCATTGCACTCTAGCCTGGGCAACAAGAGTGAAACTCCATCTCAAAAAAAAAAATAAATAAAATGAAATAAAATAAAATTGATGCACACTAACTCCCCTCTGTAGTTGTTTTCCAGATGCCTTTTCTTGGTCTGATGCCACCTCTAATGGGCCAGGTAACCAGAATTGAATGTAACCAGCTTCTTGTTCAGATGTGACTTTGTGGTTTTGTTCAAGCTTCCTGGGCTCTCCATGTCCTCCTCATGCTGAAGCTCCAATCGTGGATATAGCTTTGAACTCATTCTTTCAAAATGGTCGATAGAGATTTTTATTTTCAAATGCCCAAGGAGGGGCTGATAGAAAGGACTATCAACAGTTACTAGCCATTAAAATAATATTTAATTTTTAAAGTCTTAAGTTTAAAAACCTAGATTTTCTTAAACCTTTTATTTCAACTTATAAAGTTATTATTCTATTTTATAGGTAGTAATTTTCATGTAAATTCGAAACAATAACTAGCTTGCTCTATGATGAATGTTCAAATAAGTTTAAGAGATTAAATTTCCAGAAATATTAGCACCACTAAAAGTCATGATTAATTAAATCCTCTGAAAACTTTAAATCTACCTCATTAATGTCATATTGGTGGCAGCAGTGGCCCATCTAGAGTGGCCACTGCCAAGACATTGGCTGCAGCGTGGAGGCACGGCTGGGATTACACACTCCACCTGACAGGCAGAAGCCCCGCCCTTCCCAGGTGCCGCTGCAGCTGCTCAAGCCCGGCTGCAAACCCAGGTGTCTCTGTGCTCTTGGGGGCCCAGGAAAGCCCCCCTGCAAAGTGCCTGCTCCCGCTGCCTGGCCTCTCCCTGCTCCCAGTGCCCTCTGCAATCATGGAGCAAGGTTGGGGCCAAACCTGGGTACTGTCACAGCACAGCCAGGTGGGCACACTCAGAGCAGCGCTGCCACCTTGGCCCCTCCCGGACTTTGGGCACCGACAAGTACAGGAGGGAAGCCAAGCAGGGGCTGAGGGCAGATGAAATATGATGAAGGTGTTAGATGCTCTCAAACATTAGAAATACTTTAGTAAAAACTACTCAGAGATTAGTTACATTTAACAACAAAATGTTATTATTATGGGTTCGATTTACTTAATGATGGCTATCTATGTTTTCCTCTCGCCCAACTTTAGAAGTAGAGCCTGCATCACAGGTGAGCTGAGATGAAGGGTCAAATATAATTACCCACAGGTCAGATATCTGAGTCCAGGACACAGGATCCGGCTCCACATACATCACGGATGACTACCCTAGACACAACTTAAAACACAGAATACCTGTTTGCTATTTCAACAAGCTGCTCCAAACGTTTCAGACGGGATTTAGTTTCACAACTAATAAACTGCTTAACCCATGTAGTCAGCACATATGACTAAGGGCAAGCAATTAATGAGGCAACGTTCGAGGCACTTGGGTTGCAACAAAGAACAAGAAGTTTTCTGCTTTCCCAGAGATTAAATTTTAGCAGGAACAGAAGGAGGGAGGACAAGAAAACAATGGTGTGATAAAGGGATAAGTTACTTTGTGTTAGAATTGAAACAGGGTGGCCAGGATGGGCCTCACTGAGAAGGTGACATTTGAGCAGACTTGAAGGAGATGTGGGAGCCAGCCAGGCAAGATGCAGGAACCCTTGTCTGAGGGAAGTGTCCTAAGACAGGGGACAGTCATTGTGTGGACTCTGGGCAGCAGGTTGCTTGCCATACTGAAGAACAGCAGGGACACCAGCATGCTGGAAAAAAATTGCAAGGGGAAGAGTGACAGGAGACAATGAAAGAGAGGACAGGGAATCAGACTGTGAAAGACCTTGCAGGCCACTGAGAAGGGAGGTTGATGCCATGACGATCTGACTTATGTTTTAAAAGGATCTCTGACTGCTGTGTGGACAACACACTGTAGTGTGAAGGTCGAAGGAGGAGACTATGCAGGAAACTGTAGCAAGTATCCGTTGCTGCATTAACAAATACCTCAAAACGCTGTGGCCTCAAACAACAGCATTTCTTATCTCACTGCCTCTGTGGGTCAAAGCTCTGGGCACAATTTCGCTGAGTCCTCTGGCTCAGAGTCCTTCACAGGCTGCAGTCAAGTTCTCAGCCAGGGCTGCAGTCATCTCAAGGTTCCACTGCGGAAAGATCCACTTCCGGCTTTACTTGGGCAGTGGTCAGCAGGATTCAGGTTTTTTCAGGCTATTGCATTACCGTGGGCCTCAGCTCTTGTCTGGCCAGGGGGCCTTTCATTTTCTTGCCCTGTGGGCCTCTCTAAAGGAGAGCTCACAACAGGGCCGCTTGCTTCATCACAGCAAGCAAACAGAAAAGGGAGGGAGGCAGAGAAAGAGAAAGACACGGAGACAGACAGAGGTGTCACAGTCTTTTATAATCTCATCTGACAAGTATATCCACAACTTCATAGTCTATGCCTTAGAAGAAAGTCACTGGGTCCAGCTCTTTCTGAAGGGGAAGGGATGATGCAAAGGTGTGAGTACAGAAGGCAGAAATCATTGGAGGTCATTTTAGAAGTGTCCACCACAGAGGCTACTCAGTTATCCAAACAAGAGATGGTGGTGGCTTGCATAAGGTTGGTAGCAACAGGGGAGGAGAGTAGTCAGGTTCTCAATACAATTTTAAAGATAGAGCCAACAAGATTTTTAGTCTGACTGGATATGGGGTGTGAAAGCAAAACATCAGTCAGGTGCAGTGGCTCATGCCTGTAATCCTAGCACTTCGGGAGGCCGAGGTGGGAGGATCACTTGAGTTCAGGAGTTCAAAACCAGCCTGGCCAACATGGTAAAACCCCATCTCTACTAAAAATGCAAAAAAAAAATAAAAATAGCTGGGTGAGGAAGGGAACACCTGTAATCCTAGCTACTTGGGCTGAGGCAGGAGAATCGCTTGAACCCAGGAGGCAGAGGTTGCAGCGAGCAGAGATTGTGCCATTGCACTCCAGCCTGGGCGACAAGAGCAAAACTCTGTCTCAAAACAAAAGCAAAAACAAAACAAAACAAACAAATAAAAAAAAAACAAAAACAAAGAAAAAAGCGAAAGATCAAGGGTGACTTCAGGACGTCTGCTCTGAAAACTGACAGGATGGAGTTGCCATTGACACAGACGGGGAAGACAAAACAAGGGTTAGTGGATGGACAGGGAGGGCGGGGAGATGAGGAGCTCCGTGTCTGTGTGTCAAGTCTGCGATCTCCGACAGGTGGATGGATAGAGAGAATGTAGTACTTACACACGATGACGGGCTGCTCCTCAGCCAGCAAAAGAAAGAGGTTCTGTCATCTGTGACAGGATGAATGGAGCTGGAGATCATCACGTTAAGTGAAATAAGCCAGGCACAGAAAGACAAACATCACATGTTCTCATTCACTTGCGGGATCTAGAAATCAAAACAATTGAACGCAGAGATATAGAGAACAGAAGGATGGTTACCAGAGGCTGGGAAGGGTAGTGGGTGGTGTGGTGGGGGGAGCTGGGGATGGTTAATGCATACACAAAAAAATTAGGAAGAATGAATAAGACAGTATTTGATAGCACAACAGTGGGACTATAGTCAATAAAAATTCAATTGTACATTTAAAAATAACTAAAAGTATAATTGCATTGTTTGTAACAAAGAATAAATGCCTGAGGAGATGGATACCCCATTTTCCATGATGCAATGACTATGCATTGCATGCCTGTACCAAAATACATCATGCACCCCATAAATATATACAACTACTGTGCAAACACAACAACTAAAAATAAAAACAAATTGTAGTAAAATCAAAAAATAAAAAGTTTGAGATCACGATTGGACAACTAAGTATACCACAAGACTTTGAGCTATCTTTCAAGTTCCCTTTAATTATTATAACTTCTTTCAACTCCTAGGTTTGAGTCGGTGCAGTTTTATTCCTTGATTAGGATCAGTGCTAATTTCCTCAACCTAATTGGATCCACCTACCAACTTTACACCCTCAGTGGATTCTGCATGGTTAAGAGCATGGACTCTGGGTCTGAACCATGTCACTGATTAGCCATCTAAGGGGGCACATGCTATTTGGCCTCCCTGTCCCTGTTTCCTCACCTGCAAAGGAGGGATAATAATATCACCTCTATGCTAGAGGTTACATCTTGAGTGTCTGCAAGGATTAAACGATCTAATATTTGTAAGGCACTCAGAATGGTGGCTATTGTTATAAGTGCTATAAGGATTAGCTAGGGCCGGGCGCAGTGGCTCACGCCTGTAATCCCAGCACTTTAGGAGGCCGAGGCGGGTGGATCACGAGGTCAACAGATCGAGACCATCCTGGTCAACATGGTGAAACCCTGTCTCTACTAAAAATTACAAAAAAATAGCTGGGCATGGTGGTGCGTGCCTGTAATCCCAGCTACTCAGGAGGCTGAGGCAGGAGAATTGCCTGAACCCAGGAGGCGGAGGTTGCGGTGAGCCGAGATCATGCCATTGTACTCCAGCCTGGGTAACAAGAGCGAAACTCCGTCTCAAAAAAAGGATTAGCTAAACAAATGTTCTATTTGAGTAGGTGTGTGTGACTGGTTCTCAGCCACAATTCTGTAGTTGTTTGATAAAAATTTAAATACTGGTCTTCCCAAAACTGATGTTGTCTCTTGGAAGGTTTCTGACCAACTACAGATGCTTAGAAAATATGGATAAAGGTGCAAGGACTCCTTCAAAATTGGAATAAATATTTGAAAATACGGAATTTTTGTTAATTTTCAGATGTGATAATAATATCGAGGTTATATTTCTTTTAAAGAAATCATCTTGGGCTGGGAGCAGTGGCTCACGCTTGTAATCCCAGCACTTTGGGAGGCTGAGGCAGGTGGATCACAAGGTTAGGAGATCGAGACAATCCTGGTCAACAAGGTGAATGAAACCCCGTCTCTACTAAAAATACAAAAATTAGCTGGGCATGGTGGTGTGCACCTGTAGTCCCAGGTACTCGGAAGGCTGAGGCAGGAGAATTGCTTGAACCCAGGAGGTGGGGGTTGCAGTGACCCAGGATCGTGCCATTGCACTCCAGTCTGGGTAACAACAGCGAAACTCCGTCTAAAAAAAAAAAAAAAAAGAAATCATCTTTTAGATACATACTGAGGTATTTATTGCTAAAATATCTGAAGTGTCTTTAAAACAAAACAGAAGAGAGAGTAGTAATTGAGTAGAAATGAAATAAGATTGGCCCTATGTAGATAATTATTGAGAAAGTGTAACGTGTACATGGGATTTTACTATATATACTATTCTATTTTTGTATATGTGGAAGTTCTTCATAATAGAAATGTTTTTGATGCAGGATCTATGCCAAGACAAACTTAAGCCCTAGTACTGCTTCCCTGGTAAATATTCGGTACAACTTGGGCTCCTAATATTTGTTCATTAATACCACAGTGACCTCTGAGACAGTGTCCTGCCGGTACAGAGATATACAAAACTCAGGTTTTCAGGCCCAACACTGTCCTTTTTACATATAGCTACTGCATTTAACAATGTTAATGCATTTAATCCTTAAAAAAAAAAAAGCCAAGATGTAACACCTAACACCCATCCAACTTGTCTCCAGCTACAACCTTGCCTCCTACAGTCTAGGATGAGGAGGGCATTCTTAACCCAACAGCCTGTATCTTTAAAAACATGTCAGATCATGGCACTGCTCCATTTAAAGCGTCCACTGGCTCCCATCTCAAGAGTAAAAGCAAGTCCTTCCAGTCGCTTCATCTCATACTATCTCCCCCCCCAGTCACCCACTTCAGCCTCATTGGGCTCCTTGCTCTTCCACACGCATGCTGAGAGAACCTGCTGTTCCCTTTGCGTGGAAGTGCCATCGCCCAGACATCCACATGAATTGCTCACTCATCTCCTGAAGTTCTCTATTCATGTGTCACTTTTTCCTCAAGGCCTTCCCACACGTTCCTATTTAAAATAACTACCCTGTCCTCCTAGAGCAATTCCACCCTAGTTCTCTCCATCCACCTTTTCATTTTTCTGTGGCATTTACCACCATAGGACACACTATTTGTTTATTTTCCGTATCTACCCACTAGAATGTCTATTCCACGAGGGTAGAACTTTTGCCTGTTTCTTTCACTACTATGTCTCCAATGCCTTGAATAGTTTCTGGCACACACGGGGCGGTCAGTATTTGCTACATAAATTAATTCACGTTCATTCCTTTTAGACGGCGCCATGTCAGCATCTCTCCTCCCTGAATGTCCTCATCCCTCATTCTGCATCCTTGTTTACCACCATGTTCACTATGCTGCATTACCCAGCACCTGTCCCTGTAGTCATTCCTTTTGGGGAGAGCTGTTTCCATGGTGATACAGGAGCATTTCACCTGCTTAGCAGGCCTCTCAGAAAGCTCTTTGCAGCATGCTTCTATTTCTAGTGTTGTTAAGACTCCAACACACATGGAACTTTCCATTCCTATCCTGGAAAGCATTCTCAATCAGTACAGCTAGCGATGTGATTTGCCTGATGCTCTTCAGCAGTTCCGTAAGCAGGTTTATTTAAACAGACCTCTTTCGATGGACATTTAGTATGTTCTAAGGCTTTGCCTTTTTAGTCATGCACTCAAAATATTTATTCTACTCCAGACACTGTTGTAGTCACTTGGCACACACCAGTGACTCAACCCTGGGTTCCCAGTTTATATTACCCCACCTATTGTGTATGTTGTTGTAAAGAGTGTCAAATCTTGATTTTGCTTGCTGCTCTCTAGCTACTGACTTTGCAGTCCGTTGATGTGAAATATGTACAGAAAAAAAAAAAACGTGGCCGGTGCAGTGAGAGGCCAAGGTAAGAGGATCACTTGAGTCCAGGAGTCTGAGACCATGCTGGACAACGTAATGAAACCCTCATCTCTAAAGAAAATGTAAGAATTAGCTGGGCATGGTGGCATGTGCCTGTAGCCCCAGCTACTTGTGAGACTGAAGTGGGAGGATGATTCAAGACAGCAAGGCAAGGCTGCAGTGAGCTGTGGTTGCACCACTGCACTCCAGCCTGGGTGACAGAGCCAGACCTTAACTCAAAAAAAAAAAAAAATTTTTTTTTCAGAAACAACACTACCTCCTTGTTAAAGGGGAAGACCACACACACATACACACACACACACACACACACACATATAAACCCTATCTAGGCATTTGGAGTGTTGGACAAACCTGTACTACTGAGGAGTTGGGCACTGCATCCCAAGAGTCCTGACCCATTCCCGAGTCTATCAGCCCCTTTGGGAACAGGAAGTTGGAAGTGGGCAATCACTGAGTTGCTAAGATAACCTTCATTCGCATCTCACTCAGATTTCTGTAATAGGCCAATGTTCCTCTTCATTATTATTTCTTATTCCAGAGTGTGTCATTGCCTATGGTTTGTGAGTTTACTTCCTGCTTTGCAAAAGGAAAGACCTAGAACTTCCCCATTGATATAATGCTCAGAATACCTTCTTGGTATACCATCAGCATTCCTGGGTAAATACAAGTTCAGTTTGAGAAGAAAAATCTGCCTGGTTATTCGTCAGGCAGGAAAAACAAATACAAATAAAGATAACTGCAAAGTTAACAAGAAACTTGCTGCCAAGGACATGCTTAATCTAGAGTGTCATAATCACCCTCTGAGTGACTATGGCTTTTTCACTTTCTCACTGAGAAACCCTGTTATCTAAGATCAAAGACCCTCAGAAACTTGCTGTTTGAAATTTTCTCAGTAAGAATAAAACACCTTGCTTGGAGGGTCTAAGTCACTTTAACACAGAGACATAGCTTCAGTTTACAAGCCAGTTGCAAAGGTGCAGAAAAGAGGTTTTCAAAGAAACAGGACCACGGCTCCACTCTGCAGGCTAGGCCTCATGTTGACCCTTTTTCACAGTCCTGCTTTGCTTTGAGGCTATTAAAACTGTTTTAGTTAAGTTCGATCTAAACTTTACAATTCCTCAAAATCCTGTAATTTTATCTTTTCCTTCCTTTGGTAAAATGCCCCCATGGTGTCTCTGGTGTGCAATCTCCCTCGTTAAAAAAGGTCGATAGACCTGGTTTTGTTGACTACAGGTTTGTCTCTGGTGGTCTTAGGCTGACTAGGCTTGAACAGTCTTGCTCAGCTTCAGGATGCCTAAGACTGCAGATTTCAAAAACGGAAACAACAAACATCTGCCACTCCTAAATATAAATGCACCTGAACTAGGGTTGGTTCACTTCTCGGGAGGGTTATAGGAACAAGAAAGTCAGGGGTCTGCACAGCTCTTAGTTCGATTCTTGCACTGGCTTAGATTTCTTTTGCTTTGGGGCTTCAGGTAAATAATTTGTCTGCTAAATTGACGCCCCCATCCCCAGTGCCTCAACAACAACAACAAAAAAACCAAGACACGTCTAGTCAGCTGAAGCTGACAGAAATACAGGGTCAATCTGGTTACAGGTAGGCAGTGCTGGCTACGCCTACACCGCAGACACTGTGGGACAAAGGGACCTGCTACTGCTGTCCCCCTATCTGGGCCGCGGCACCAGTGCCCCAGGTGTACGCCCCACAGCAAGAACCCCAGGCTCCACGCCCTCCCAGCCCTTCTCATCCGTCCCTCGCAACGAGCGAAAGAAAAGGGGCGCGGCCTCGGGGCACGGGCGACGGCTTACAGGACAGCACACAGTACCAGCCGACGTCTCCTAAGCCTGAGCCCCTAGTACCCCGCCTCCACATTTAAAGCGGATGGCGCTCCTTGGTGATTGGAAGTCCGGCTGTGCCCTATTAGAGGCCGCAAACTACTGAGCGCGTCCAAAACGCCATATTTGTGCCTGACGTCATGCTTATGCTGCCCTTCCTGTGATTGAAGAACCAACCGGTTGGGTGTAGCAGACAGGATGTGGTTTTTCAAGCAGAGATCGAAGTAGCTGAGAGCGGACTCAGGGCGCCATCTTGATTCCTGGCATTACCCTCAAAGTGCCCTCCCTCTCGGTGATTGGACGAGTAGGGCGGGCCTTCCTGAGGCACACAACCGGAAAGGCTTGAAATATGTCTGGGAACTGTCATGGCAAAGACCATGACCTTAATCAAGAGGTAAAAGGTAACATCTCTCTGCACTGGCATGGGTAAAATCTAAAAAATAAAATATCACCACGATATTGGGAACCTGTGTGTGATGGTGTGTCCCTGTAGCCCCAGCTATTCCAGAGGCTGAGGCAGACCTGCTTGAGCCCCTGAATTCAAGGCTGTAGTGGGCCACAATCAGACCTGTGAATAGCCACTGCCCTCCAGCCTGGGCAACACAGCCAGACCCTATCTCTTTTAAAAAGGCATGGCCAGGTGCAGTGGCTCACACCTGTAATCCCAGCACTTCGGGAGGCTGAGGCGGGTGGTTCATGAGGTCAAGAGATCGAGACCATCCTGGCCAACATGGTGAAACCCCGTCTCTACTAAAAATACAAAAATTAGCTGGGTGTGATGGTGCACACGTGTAGTCCCAGCTACTCGGGAGGCTGAGGCAGGAGAATCGCTTGAACTCGGGAGGTCGAGGTTGCAGTGAACTGAGATCACCACTGCATTCCAGCCTAGGTGACAGAGAGGGAATCCGTCTCAAAAAATTAAATTAAATAGAATATGTGTTTATGTGTAGATAGATAGATGTGTTCTGATGTGATGCAACAAGAACATAGCATTTCTACCAAAACTTCACTATCTGAATCGAATGAGGAAAACTCCAACAAACCCATGTTACAAATTTAACGGTTAAATCTACAACTATCAGTCAAAGACTAGAGATCTGATAATTAAATGCAATTTGTAATCCTCCATTATATCAAGAATATGGAAAAAAAGTTTTTTCCCGTTTGCTCCAAAGAACATAGGAGGGACAACTGATAAATCTGAATAAGGACTGCAGGTTAGATAATAGCAATATTAATTTCCTAATTTTGATAAGTCTATTGATGATGTAAGAGAATCTCTGTTGTTTGGAAATACCCATTTTAAGAATGTATAGATAGGCTGAGCATGGTGGCTTACGCCGGAATCTCAGCACTTTGAGAGGCGGAGGCAGGAGGATCGTCTTCGCCCAGAAGTTAGAGGCTGCAGGGAACCGCCACTGCACTGCAGCCTGGGCGACTGGGCGAGACCCTGTCTCTAAAAAAGAATGTAGAGATAAAGCGACATCATGTCTGCAATTTCCTCTCAAATGGTAGAATGACAGAGCAAATGCAAAATGCTGACATTTGTAGAATCTAGAAGGGTTTCTGGGAATTACTTGTACTCGTTTAGCAATATATTTATAAGTGTGAATTATTTTAAAATAAAAGGCTAACAAAGTTACTGAGATTAATTAAGAATATGAGGAGGCAACAGACCTAGTACTAAGCTATGAATAACCAACATTTAAATAAAACTCGGGAAATAAAAAGGAAGTCAAATGGCATGCGATCAACGGAAGACATAGCTTCCGTACTCTTAATCCTAAATTACTAAGAGGTGACGTTCCTGCAGCTCTCCAATCCAAATCAAAAAACAGTCTCGCCGCCCAACTTTGCGAAAAGGCAATTTAAATCCAGCCGGCTCCGCCATGTTTTCCCAGTGAGCTTGCGTGCGCGTGCATATGCACGCACGCACGCACCAACCAATCGGTGTCCACGTCGGAGTCTCACCGCAGGGGCGGTGCATTCTTCTACGCATGCGCACGGTTGGGCGGGCCTCCTTCTTTCTAGCCTAACGCCGCCAACATGGTGAGTCTTACTATCGCGGGCTTCTGGGCTGGCGATCTTTCCTCTCTACCTCCGCCTCCGCTGGGAAGCTGAGGCGCGGAACGGCTCCCGGAGGGTCCTGGGAAGCACATGGTGAGGGTCCCTGGGCCGGCTGTGCCCCGGAATCTGGTACTTCCCGGACTGCGGCTGACGAGCGCGTGGAGGACCCGGCAGGCCTGGCGTTCTTTGGGCCACGCGTGCGCGCCTCGGCAGCTGGGGCTGGACTGCTGATGCGGCCCGTGGTCCGAGAGCCTTGTCCCGCCGCCCGGGCCTTGCGGAGCTGGGAGCTGGCAGGTGGTGGCGACGGGAACCGGGCTTTAGTTACGGCGGCGTCTCCCGTTTTCGTCCATTCAGGTTGGCGCCTGGCGCTCGGGCGTGTGTTCCCCTGCAGCGTTCTTCTTCGCTGAATTTAACCATGTCGTCTCTAGCTGCAGAAAGTGACATATAAACTAGCGAGTATTTTTAGATAAGTCTCACTGTCCTTTCTCCCCAAATTTTAGGTGTTCAGGCGCTTCGTGGAGGTTGGCCGGGTGGCCTACGTCTCCTTTGGACCTCATGCCGGAAAGTTGGTGGCGATTGTAGATGTTATTGATCAAAACAGGGTAAGTGTCATAGCTTTTTACTAAACGTGGTACTGGACGTGTGCACTGCAGCTGGCAACAATGATTGTCGCGATGACTGTAAGGTAAGTATGCTAGGGTAGTAACTTCATTTTACCATTGAGGAAACAGGCAATGTAGGGTAAGGGTTTTAAGCACAGCCTTGAGTTAGCTATTAACATTGAATTTTAGCTAGAGCCAGTTATGGGCTAAAACGCTGGTTAGGTTTAAATGAGTTACTAGATACGTAAAGTGAGTTTAGAACAGATCCAGCATATAGATAGCACGTGACTCAAATAGAGTAATTCTTGTCTTTTCTAAGCAATTTATTTAAATAGTAATGTGAGTTTGATGACCCTGAACGGATAAGTAATTGTACAGAACCATCTGACCATTTTAATTCTATTAGATTTTGCACTGAAGTTCTTGATGTTGGCGTTCTAGGCTTTGGTTGATGGACCTTGCACTCAGGTGAGGAGACAGGCCATGCCTTTCAAGTGCATGCAGCTCACTGATTTCATCCTCAAGTTTCCACACAGGTAATTATCCAGCAATCATCACCCCTTCCTACCATCCCCAGATTTTTTTATACTAGTAAAACTTTGTTTTAGAGTAAACGGTATGAAAGATTCAGAGCCATCCTGCAGAGGGTTTTACGTCATAGAAGTAAACAGGGATTACTTACTTTTAAAATGTCCTGGGTGTGCACACCTTTAATCCTAATACTTTGGGAGGCCATGGTGGGAGGATCTCTTGAGCTCAAGAGTTCAAGACCAGCCTGGGCAACATGGTGAACCCCCCCCCCCCATCTCTACAAAAAATACAAAAAAATTAGATGGTCCCTTGGCAAGTCACCTATAATCCCCAGCATGGGAGCAGGGCAGGGGGGCGTGCTGTGTTGGGAGGATCACTTGAGCAAGATTGAGTCTGCAGAGAGCCCTGATCATGCCACTGCACTCCAGCCTGCATGACAGTGAGAGACTGTCTCAAAAAAAATAAAATGTCCTAAGGTCACCTTTCTACCTCGGTAATTTAGGGTTTTGCCTCTGTTCAGACTTGCCATCCTCCTTTCCCTTGGTCTCTGCGAAACTTTTAGGTTAAAGTAGCCATAATAAGTCATTAAGTAAGCTCTTAGTGTGTGTGTTACACAGTATTTTATATGAGAGGTTGTATCCCTGGCTTGCATTTAAATGAGGCAGCGAGTAGCATAGTGGTTCTTTTTTGACATATAAATTAAAGCACTTTGGTGGTTTCTGTACAGTTAATTCAACCCACAATGATGGTTGCAGTGGAATGTGTCCTATCACATGGCCGTTACAGATAAAGTAGATATAATGTAACTTTGCATGCTTTAAAATAGTCAAAAATGTATGCTGAGCACTACAGACGCTGCCTGACGTATATTAACACATAGTGGACTTTCAGGGACTGGGGGTCGAAAGCATGCCACTTGAACAACCTGGAGTGATCATGGCTGTGCAGCTGCTATGACATACCATGTTTGAAAGCACAATTGAGGTGAAGCTTGAGGATACATCAAAGTTCAAAGCAGTAGAAAATATCTGGTAACTTAGATTTTCACTAGGGACTCTTGTAATTCTGCCTTGGATTCTTGGACACCCTGGATTTTATTTTTAGGATGTTTGGCCATAAATTTTTACTGTAAAATTTAAAAAAAAAAAAGAACAGATGGCCGGGCGTGGTGGCTCAAGCCTGTAATCCCAGCACTTTGGGAGGCCAAGGTGGATGGATCACAAGGTCAAGAGATCGAGACCATCCTGGTCAACAAGGTGAAACCCTGTCTCTACTAAAAATAGAAAAATTAGCTGGGCATGGTGGCGCGCGCCTGTAGTCGCAGCTACTCGGGAGGCTGAGGCAGGAGAATTGCTTGAACCCGGGAGGCGGAGGTTGCGGTGAGCCGAGATTGCGCCATTGCACTCCAGCCTGGGTAACAACAGTGAAACTTCGTCTCTAAATAAATAAATAAGAACATTAATACCTTGTTTGTTAGGAGAACGAATGGGTTAGCTGGATTACATACCTGTAATCTCAACACTCTGGGAGGCCAAGGCTGGTAGATCACCTGAGGACAGGAATTAAGGCCAGCCTGGCTAACCCCATCTCCACTAAAAGTACAAAAATTAGCCAGGTGTGATGGGTACACCTGTACTCCCAGCTCTTCAGGTGACTTGAGACAGAATTGCTTGGAACTAGGAGGCAGAGGTTGCAGTGAGCCAACATTGCACCTGTACACTCCCACCTCGGCGACAGAGCAAGACTTGTCTTTAAATAATAAAAAAAGAAAATGAATGGTTTTCAGCACATTCCCTGCCAAAGTGGAATTATGTATGGTTAGAAGTGGGGTGGTTTTGGTTTTGGGGAACTTTTTTTTTTTCGAGAGACAGTGTCTCACTTGGTTGCCCAGGCTAGAGTGCAGTGGTGCCATCTCAGCTTACTGCAACTTCTGCCTCTTGGGTTCAAGCATTCTCCTGCCTCAGCCTCCTAAATCACTGGGATTACAGGCATCTGCCACCATGCCAAGCTAATTTTTGTGTTTTTAGTAGAGATGGGGTTTTGCCATGTTGGACAGGCTGATCTCCAACTCCTGACCTCAGGTGATCCACCCACCTTGGCCTGCCAAGGTGCTGGAATTACAGGCGTGAGCCACCGCGCTGGGTTGAGAGGTAGTTTTTAAATTCCTAAAATGGACTGGGCTGGGTGCAGTGGCTAACGCCTGTAATCCCAGCACTTTGGGAGGCCAAGGTGGAGGATTGCTTGAGCCCAGGAGTTGGAGACCGGCCTGGGCAATGTAGCAAAACTGTTTCTACAAAAAATGCAAAAATTAGCTGGGTGTGGTGGTATGTACTTGTAGCCCCAGGTACTTGGAAAGCTGAGACAGGAGGATGGCTTGAGCCCAGAAGGTTGAAGTGGCAGTGAGCCATGATCACTCCACTGTATTCCAGCCTGGGTGGCAAAGCAAGATCCTCTCTCAAAAAAAAAAAAAATAATGGGACTGGATTACAGTTATGATTAAAATATGCTTGAAGTTACAAGCTCTTCTGGCTTACAAAACACAATAAAAATAAGTACATACTGTGCCAGATGTTGTCTTATGCAGACAAAGAAGTGTAACAGGAAGAGTGCTTTTCGAGGAACAAAGGAAGTGTCCTTGCTAGGGAGTGACTTCAAAGCTGATTCCTGACTCTGTGGTCTTGGCTTGTTCTAGTGCCCGCCAGAAGTATGTCCGGCAAGCCTGGCAGAAGGCAGACATCAATACGAAATGGGCAGCCACTCGATGGGCCAAGAAGATTGAAGCCAGAGAAAAGGTAATCACTTAGGGGCACTCGAACTCTGGCTTTTTCTTTTTTTGGCGATTTCAAGGTGTTGTGAGAGGGATAATTTTTATTTTTATTTTTAACAGAAAGCCAAGATGACAGATTTTGATCGTTTTAAAGTTATGAAGGCAAAGAAAATGGTAAGATGTAAGATGTGTACTTTTGTGTAGGTTAGCTTTAGATTAACACGGGAGCAGTACCCAAATCTTACTTCAAGCTGCCAGCCTCTTGGGAGCTTTCTGTGAAAAGGGAGAATTTACCCTCATTGTGCTTCCTGATGTTCTAATGGAACTGTTACCTTTATTTAGATTTAGTTGTAGGGGAAGAGACCACCTAATGGCCCTTTCTAAACCAGCATAATTTGAAGTTTGTTTTTTGAATACACAGTAAGTGCTTTCGTATATTGATAATTTTCAGAGGAACAGAATAATCAAGAATGAAGTTAAGAAGCTTCAAAAGGCAGCTCTCCTGAAAGCTTCTCCCAAAAAAGCACCCGCTGCTAAGGCTGCTGCTGCAGCTGCTGCTCAAGTCCCAGCTAAAAAGATGACCGCCGCAGGCAAGAGGGCTCCTGCCCAGAAGGCCACAGGCCAGAAGGCTCCTGCCCAGAAGGCCACAGGCCAGAAGGCAGCGCCTGCTCCAAAAGCTGAGAAGGGTCAAAAAGCTCCAGCCAAGAAAGCACCTGCTCCAAAGGCATCTGGCAAGAAAGCATAAGAGGCAGTTATACAGAGTAATAAAGGTTCTTTTCAACATGTTGGCAAATCTGTTTAAGTGTTTGGATTTAAAGCCTGTTGTTGGGGCTGGGTTAGGAGGCAGACTGATAGTAGGATTATAATAAACATTAATCAGTTCCTTAATCTCACGTTCTGCCCATACTTGGATGGATAGTGCACATTGCAAAGTCATAACTCATTTCATGAGGAATCATGATAA